CATAGCATCATTTAGGGTGTCAGGCTGGGCAAGGTTCTGTGGGAGCTTCTGGGGGCCTGGCTGAAGTCACGGATAGCTGTAACTTGAGTGCCAGGCATCAGCAAAATGTGTATTTACCAATTAAATTTTGCCAGCAAATGTTGAATTCCCAGACAACCTACGACGCCGGTCTTGTTGACAAGTGATTACAATTGCCAGTTTTACCTTATTCTACAAATAACTACAATTGTAATATACCTAAATACAGCCTAACAACAGTGATGTAATGTACTTAAATTACATTACAAAATCTACATGCACCTGATGGTGAAGCGGTATTCTCAGTCACCAAATCAGAGATGTGTGATGAATTATGTACCTGTCAATGAGTGTTCAAATCATTGTTGTGTACAATTAAGCTTTTTTTTTTTTCTTTCTATGCATTTCCAAACATGCTGGGTTAGCGGTTAGGGGTTGGGGTTAGGGTTAGGGGTTTCCGCCTACCAAAATAAGTGCAAACAAGGCAGGCCCAAAGTTTGCGCGCCGAATACAGTGCTAGTGATATAATAGTAATTGATGGTACTTACAACTGTAGTAATTTGTAGAATAGAGTAAAACCTACAATTGTAATTATTTTTGTATACAAGATCTGTGTCTAAGGCTCTCCCAGAAAAATTTAAGTTTCGCAGTGCCCTCAGCACTCTCCAGTGCTTCCTGCCAAATTTTATGTTGAAATTAGGCAATAATATGGCCTCTGGAAGCTCTGGCTGGTACATGCCAGCGCATCTAGATCCTGATGCTCTGGGGCTCTAAGGCACTGTCTGGCACTGTCTGGCAGTGGCCACATCATACATGTTTTGCTGATGCGCCCAGTAAAGGCCAAAGATACTTACCTGTTGCTGTAGAGCACATTTGCAAGTGTCGCACGGTAGTAAAAAGCTTGCGTTATCAATTAACGGTGCGGATATGCAGCGCGATAAGAAGCGAACGAAAGACCGAGTCACGCACCGATCGCGAACCACGGATACCCATACCCGTCCCGTAGCCGTGGGAAGTTCTCGTCCCGTACCCGTCCACAAATTCATGTGAATCAATACTAGAATCAATACTAGTACTACCCTACGTTGGCAGTGCCCTTACTGTACTGTGCCACCGGTGCTAGGAACAAGCAGCGAAGCGGCAGGCGCTAAATTTCGAGCGCCACTTGACCATTTCTCCTCTACGAACATCCTCTACGAACACCTTCCTGCATCTATTAAACAATTATTCCAGTTTGCTGTATAGTATTCCGACAAGTTCCAAATTTAACGGGTTCTTTTTGAAGGGTGAGTGAACCTTTGTTTATTTCCGAGGTGGCTGGGAGGATTGTCACGGTCTGGTGGAACTGCTTGTGGAATGAGAACGAATAGGGCGCAGCTTATACTTTGTGTTGGAGTGTATTGACTGGCATGCAGATACGAAGGCCCAGCCTAGGCTACAGTGCATCGAACGTCTACGAGTCGCATCAGTTTATTCCTAAGATGTGGCTTTCCAGAACGGCGAGTCAGAAATGACAACGATTCTGCTTGATTGTCTGTTTCTCTCTTCTATCGTCGAGATTTGACTGAAAAAGCACTCACCTTTTGTTGTCGTTAAACGATATCAGTGCTCCAACCCCTTCGTAGCGCAGCACCAGTCACCGATTCAAATTCGTGTTTCCCAGCGGTGAGCGAACTATGTAACGGATTTGTCCTTTTTAACTAAAACAGGAGGATTTCTAGCCCCACAATATACGATGTCTCCATCCAACCCGCGACAAGTGAACTTTCAACTCCGAACAAACGTGGATTTTGAGGAGATACGTCAAAAGTTACGCTCAGAATATGGCTCCGGAGTCCAGTCCGAGGCTGAAATTTCCCGAGCGCTCGCAGATGTTGAGAAGGATTTAGAGGACTGTGACGCCGAGTTCCGTCGTCTACAGTCGCGTATGATTGCTGTACAAAATCAGCGCAAGCGTTTAGAGGAGTACAAAGTTTCTCTGCGCTTTCTGCAGTCGCCCATTCGTAGACTGCCCAACGAGATCATACTCCGCATCTTCGATTGCGCATGCGAGATGAATGTGCTTACATCGAAAACGTTACAGACGATGCCCACATTGGCAATCAGCAGCATATGTTCGCGATGGCGAGCTCTCGCGCAGTCTTATCCTGATCTTTGGTCCCGTATCCGACTCCAACTGTGGACAAAACCTCGTCATCTACCAGGTTTGCCTATCTTGGATATTTACCTTGACTCTTCGAAACAATCTCCGCTCACGCTGGAAATTCCTTCGATGGGTCCTGAAGAGCTACAGGCAGACCATCTAGAAGTCTGTGCTAAGCTTGCTGCATGCAGTCATCGCTGGAAGAAATTTTTCACTGCAAAGTTCAAAATTTATACAGCCATAATGGCCCAGAACCCTCGCAATTTTCCAGTATTGGAACAGCTCTTAATCCCCAATATCCTCTTTTCCAAAGAAACAACACTGAATCGCTTTCAACATGCATCAAATCTGAAGGTCCTAGGCGTTTGCCACATTAAAAGTTGGGAAGATATGCAGCAGCGGAAGTTCCCATGGAGGCAGATTACTGAGCTTGATGTTGCTCAATGTGAGGATGTGATGAAGCCCATCTTTGAGATGCATAGTCTCCAAGAATTGTGCTTTCACCAGTTCCCAAATGTTGAAGGTGCTGTCAAACTTTGTTCACCTCCGATAACAGCTCCTTCTGTCCAGAAGCTCGCACTTACTCTCAGACAAACATCTTATCCAGAGTCCGAGAGGTTGGCCAATGTGGTATTTGCATCCCTCACATGCCCTGCTCTAATCTCTCTTTCCGCTGAAGGAATAGGTGGATATAAGGATCCATGGCCAAGAGACATGGTCAATGGCTTTATATCTCGTTCATCTTTCCACCTCACCACTCTTTCAATCAAATTTATTCCACTTCCAGACTCTGATCTTATCGATCTTCTTCGTCGTCTTCCTTCTCTCCATCATCTCGTCGTAGATGATTCCAAAACCACTTCTCCAGGTTCTATAACCCCACTACTCATCCAAAGTTTACATACCTTCTATCGAACAAGCTCTGTCGCTATCTTTTCGGTGTTAGCGAAAAAGCTACAGACTCTTTCACTGACCACTAGTGCTGAGGCTCAGGAAGCCTTCAATGACAGGGATTTCGTTGATATGGTCTCGTCGAGGTGGTTTCTTGACAGCTATAGATCTGACTCGGATTCAATAAATTCGAACGGTGGAATGGCATGCCTCCGTTCGGTGGTTATGCGTTTCACGAAACGAGTTGTTGACGAAGAAGTATACAGACCTTTGAAGTATCTTGAAGAAGAGGGTATGAGGATTGTGGTTGTCGGTCAAAGTTCGTGATTTTTTTTCGTGTGCATTGCTACTCCGACATTGATGTTATAATTTCCTAGCTGCCTAATTCCTACTTGTACTCCTTCCCTTCCCCGATTCAAGACTATGCATTGTACTACTAGTACTTATATATTCGAAAGATAACAATTATGGACATGCTTTGTCGCAATCGAATTGTTCTGCCTCTAGCCAGGCGTCGAGCGTATCTTGTACACTGATATAGTGTTTGGTAAGATGTTTGTGTACATTTAGGTCGAGAAGAAGTCAGTAGTAAAAGTAAACAAAACCTTAGATGATAATAAGTTAAGGAAATTTCACTGGTGGGTTCGTCTGACTCTAGCGTTGCAAGTTCGGTCACAAAGTTCGGTCGCTGAATGTGATAGGACATCCATCGTTGTTTCTCCCCATCCTTCATCTGTCGCCCTCCTCTTCGTTGCTATCGTTGGAAAGAATATCTCTTACGATCTTCGAAGATGAGGATGACACTATTAAAAATATGGTGGACCTTTTCCCTCGAAAAGTCGAGGTGTTCGATCTACCATTACCATTCAGCACGCGCCCATCCGTTCTTCTGCCTACATTGAGGTCACTTGAAGTTGCGTGCTGCTATGATACAGCTGACAACGTCCTACGCTGCATTACTACCCCTGTTCTTGAGCAGTTGTTTCTTGATTATCTTGGCTTCAATTTGGGTAGCCTTTTTACGGACGTGATTGCGTTTCAGCAGCGCTCTTCGACTGCACTGCCAGTGTCATCTTGGAATCTTCGTATATCGTGTAGCCATGAAGTGGAAATCATCACGGAGAAGCTGATTGGGATACTCTACCTCTTCCCTACAATCCGCTTGCTCAAAATTCACCCCAATGGTTTCAATCTGCATCTTCTAATTCAAGCAATGATTTGTGATTGCTCCAAAGACCAGCATGTCCTTCCAAACCTCAAAAATCTTCTATTGAGTGGTTATGGCGGGACAAAGGACTATCTCAGTGCTTCTGGGTTCAGGTCTATGGTCCTCTCACAGTGGTAGCCAGATGATGGTGGATCACTGTCTTTTTGCAACGGATTATCTTGCTTGCAGAAGGTAACTCTGCAGGGGTTCCACACTAACAACTTGACAGGGGACACATCAGCAAAACCTGGGTGAACTGTGGATTGCTGTGGATTGCTGTGGGTTGCTGTACAGCACTGTACAGAAGCCCCAATACAATCCACAGAAGCCACAGAGCTGTCCAGTTCTGTACAGAGGGGGACCTTGCTGTGGGATCACCCAGGTTCTGCTGATGCATTACATAGCTATCTGCGCTCTCTGGCTTAGTTTTTGACTATACACCAATCAAAGTACGGCGGTAGAGGTGTCTAGATGGACTACCGGCCAGGACATGTACATACTGTATTATTACTTGCTATTTTTGTTGGGGTTTGATCTGAAAGAAGGATTGTTCTTCTCCTTGCTCATCTCCTCGCTCATCTCAGTATACCATTGGTATCTTGATGATGGGTTCTGGTCTGCTCTGTTCAATTGATTTATTCAGAGCCCCCAGCTATTTAATATAGGAGATGGAGATGTTTGAATACACCCATTCACTTTGAATCTGGGCACATATTATAAATAACTTGTGGCTATCTTAATACACCGTTGGTGAAGTGGTTATCATGCTTGCCTTCCATAAATAGTGACCAATGGGTATAGAGCAAGCGGCTCGGGTTCGATTCCCGAACGGTGTAATCTGCCAGTACATGATCCATTTTTTTTCCTTTTCTCCCAGAGTTATGTAACAGTATTCAGCGCTAGTGCAACATTCAGATTCACATTGATAAATCAAAGGTCATTCCAATAGACACAACACGCGTGTTGCTATAATAATGGATATGGTATGGACATGACATGACATGTATGTACTATGTACTAAAGGATATCGATATAAGGTAGTGTACGCGTACGCGTACGTACTGTAGTAAGGTAATAATTCAAGAGGAAGCGAAGGCGAATATGGATATGTGGAAGACGAAGTGAGAATGAGAATGATGAAAGCAATGCCAGAGAGAGGAGAGAGAGAAAGTCTTGAAAGTGGAGTCGAGTCGGATAGGCTACGGATGTGCTGCATGGTGGAGTCGTGAACGGTAAAAATGACATGGTATGTACGGTATGTACGGATGGATGGGAAAAAGACGTCAAGCAAAGAAAAAAAAAGGTAATGGAGCGAGGTAGTGTATACTAAAAGAGCGCAGAGACAAGACAAGTACATACCCATAAGTAATAGAGACAGTAACGAGCGAACAGACAGACAGACGGACGGACAGATGATAGATCAGCAGCACAGACAGGCAGAGGACAGAGGGTCAGAGCGAGAACGTGAGCGAGTGCGACCGGCGCGCGACGTGTGTGATGTGTGTATGGACGTAGTAATGGTATTATTAACAACGGCATCAACAGCAGCTCCAGCCACCAGCGGTCGAGTTCTTCAATGCCTTCTCGCGAGCTTCCTCTTCCTCTGCTTGAGCTGACCATGTCGGAGTTGCAACAGATGACAGGAACACGCTGTCCCGCTTCTTTAATTCGTTCTCCTTCTCTATCACGTCCTTGCGTTGGATGATAGCAGTGATTAGGTGGTCGAATAAGGTATGTATACCTGCGCCAAGTAAACAAGCATGGTCCAGGTAAGTGAATTGGTTTGCGTTTCTAAAAGAATTCAAAGACCCACCGAGATCGTCCTTGGCGGAAACCTCAAACAGCTCCATATCCTTTGTCAGCCCCCATTCCTGTTCCTCCTGATGTCCCTCCTCCTCCTCTTCCTCAATACTATTACTAGCCGAGTCGTACAGCTCACTGTATCCTCCGGCTTGCATACCGAAATGAGAGCCGAAACGGGATGGTACGGCGGTGGTATTTGAGCGCACAAGAGAGGAAGGAGCAGGGTTTCGTGATCGTGTCGGTGCAGCGGATTTGCTGCGGTTTAGCCCTGGCGCTCGAGTTGGAGGATCAAGGTAGGGTAATGTATCCATCGGGGGAGAAGAAACGGGTGGGCTGACAGGTGGTGAGCGGAGCCCAGGGAAAGAAGTGAAGCGGGGCCTTATGTAGGATAAGGTAGATGGTTGTGGAGGTGGGGGAGGAGTTGCAGGTCGCGGTGGGGGAAACCAGTTGTGCAGTGAGAGTCGTGCAAAGTCCGAAGTTACCTGCCTATGTCGATGTAAATCCGCCTTGGACCCAACAATGTATATTATCAGTTCCGGCGGGCAGTTTTTCTTGAGTTCTGTGGCACAGCAAATCAATAGTCTGAAGAAAGAGTCAAAAAAGAGTCACGCGGACCTTCCAGCCAGCCCCTCACATCCTCAAAGGTTGAGGCATTGGTAATGTCATACAAGACAAGAGCCGCATTCGCGCCTATAGCATAACAAATTAGAGGCAAAGTAGGGGTAGGGGCGCGATAAGCAGCGCACCTCGATAATACATGGGAGCCTAGTATGAAATTGGACAATTAGGGAACAGCAACGGGGGATTTGGCATAGAAACAACGGACCATACTGCGAAATCGCTCTTGGCCTGCAGTATCCCAGAGCTGCAGCCGTACTTTGAGGCCTTTGAGGGAGACTTTCTTGGTAACAAAGAATGCACCGCTCGTTGAAGTGGTATTCTTGGGATCAAACTTGTTTTGGGTATATCGGTGTAATAGACTCGTCTTTCCAACGCCTGGGGAGTGGTTATTAGATATTCATTAGCTTTGGGCGCATTCCACGGACCAGAGTTGCCCATAATAACAATCTTGCTGTCTATGCCTTGGTCGTATCTGGACCGAGACATGTCTTGATAATAAGCCATTCGTAAAAAAGCCCCTCAACAAAGTGGGCAGGCGCCTGTGAAGTTCGACGCGCGTAGTGGGAATAATAAAAGAGTAGCCAGGAGAGAGGAAAAGGAACAAGGCCCAATGGCCGCGAGGGCTAGGATAAAGGAAAGAGGAAGGAGAACCGCTCAAAGCGGGTGCCGCGAGAATCCAAAGGCGGCAATTCCCACGTGAGTAACTACATTCAGCGCGTCAAAACTAGTCGCTTTCTTATCGTACGGATCACACAATAATACAGGCCTCATATGTTTTAATCGCATTGGAAAGCATATTCATATCGCATACGCTAGTACATATGATCCGCCCACTACTCCTGTGCGACGACAGGGAACTCGAAAACCACGTCTTTTCCTGTTAGACGACGGTACACCGATGAGAACGAATCGAGCTTGTACTCCAATACATTTGCGTCTTTCGAGTCAAGGTAGCTGTGCGTTACAGCGCCGTTAGCCCTAGTACGCAGCACGACACTAAACATAAAACACATACACTTTTAACAGCTTGGAGCCATCAACCGCAACTCGGGTCCGCTTTCCGACGATCTCAGTGGGGAAAACGAGATCTTCGAGAATCTTTTCGTGCACATTGGTAAGGGTGCGGCTGCGGGGTCGCTTCTGCTGGACACGAGAGTTACGGGTAGGCTTGCGGAGCATCCTGCGCTGAGCAACGAACACGACGTGTCGGTCAGAGAATTTTTTCTCGAGTTCACGAGTAAGCCTGCAAATAAGCACATAGTAAGTTCCGGCACTAGCTGAAACAAAATAGAACCAAGGCTACGCACCTCTGCTGCACTTTGTGGAAAGCCTTCAACTGGGGAACCGGGACAAAGATCACAATAGCCTTTTTGCCACCTCGGACGTCAACTTCACGGGCAGCGGAGATCTGGAGAGGCCGAAGCTCAGCCTTGAGTTCGGGGACATTGTTCTCCAGGTCGATGATGGCCTGAGCGACGCTCGTTTCTGTCTCATCTGGGGACGTCGTCGGAGCGTTGGCAGTACGGAGAATTTTGTGGCTGACGTTGGACATGCTTGAGGAGGCCTAGAGAAAGCCCAAGATTAACATCCTAGCCTTTTCAAATCCAAAATCCCAAATCGACATCCAACACTTCAAGCCCAATCCACCCTCTCGAAGCATTTCAGCTCACTTCTCCTCCTCAGAACTCCAGCATAACTCTCTCCATAACCCATTCCCTCGATAATTGAGACGTTAAACTCACCGGACGGCTTGAAAACGACCAGCTGGATGTTACGTTTTTGGTGAACGAACGAGAGAAAAATGAAAACCTTCAGCGCTTACACCGGCGCTTATCACTCGACTCTTTCCTTACTTTACTCTTTCCACCAGCACTCACCTGCTTTCCACTGATTCAGAGGAGATACTCTTTGTGTTGATTAAGGACTTTTGCTGGTTATACCTTTCATGTCAACCAGCCTTTCTTCTTCTTTGTATACTTTTTCTGGACATTGCCTCGTTCTGCTGCCAAGTACAACCGCAGGGATCTACATTCAGACCTTCCTCAACTTCAAGCTTCAAGATCTACGTCATACAAAGTAACGAAAACCATAATCTCCCTTGCGAGTCGGGCTCATCTTCTTCGATGCGTATTCTGTCATAGGAAAGGATCGGAGTGGAAAACCATGACACTGGCAGAGAGAAAGACATCGCGTCGCCGCTGTAGCGCTATCCCTCTTTCGGGCCAATCTGATTGTAGTACCAACGATAATTATGGTGTCGTCTGGATCTGGACTAGCTGTAGCAGTGGAGCTAGTAATGCTAGTAGCGGTGTGTGTTTAATTCGTCCTCGGGTCTTCAATTACAAGTGTCATCGATATACTATTACACCTCGGGGTGCAATATCTGGCGAGAAATTCTCACCATGCTTGTCATCTATATGATATTGCAGCTCGGGGTGCAATTTCTGACGAGAAATTCTTGCCGTTCATAAGTGTTGCAGTTAGTGGCAAGAATTTCTCGCCATGTATTTTATACTCCTGTCATCTAGAGCCTCGGAGTACGATCTCTGATATTCTCGCCAGTATTTTATCCGCCTGTCATATCTCTATGCTGTTGCAGCTCGAAGTTATATTTCTGGCGAGAATTATGCTCCTGTATACTTATACTTTTGTAGCCCGACTCGGAAGTGCGAGAAATTGGTGTCATGTACTATCTTCCTTCAGCAATGGAGCTGGCACTATTGAGTGTATGTGTTCTCTAGGGCCTTCGACTCGGAGATGATCATTCATTTTTTTTTACAAATACTAATATTGTATTCTAACACGGAGAAGAAGAAAGTAAGCTTACATCCACGTATCTTCACCAATTGCAGCAGACGATGGGGCGGCAGCAGTCGTCGTCGCAGGTCACCGGAAACCTCCAGTCCCCAGCACCGCAATCAAGCCTAGTGGGAATAGGATTCGGATGACAGATGAGTTGGTTCGGGTCCATTTCGGTCGCTAGCGATATAGTATGCCCTTAACCATCACATATGTGATGCTACTGTATATCGGATTTCGCCCAAGAGTCTTTGGTGCTAAGTAGTTGAAACATTCCGCAGAACTCTCATCGGCCTGATGGTCTAGGAGTATGATTCGTTGTTAGGGTGAATTCTCCCCAGAAATTCTTTCGACGAGGTCCCGGGTTCAATTCCCGGTCAGGCCCTAGATTTGCATTCTTTCCTTATTTTTCTCTTTCTTTCTATCCAGTGAATTTCACCGCACATTTTAGTTAGTCACACTCTGTGTGGTTTAGTGGAGGATGGACACTGTAAAAATGTTTGTTGGGTTCATCCTCACTGAAATGGCGCACGAGGGATATTTTTCCTTGTAGCATTCCTTCCTTCAGAATCATCAGTCATAAACATATTTTGCCATCAGCCTTAGCAAACAA